CAGACACAGACACAGACACACACAGACACACACACACACACAGACACACACACACATACACACACACACAGAGTTATAGTCAAGTACTGGTGACTCATGCCTTTAATTCCTAGCTACTCAGCAGACTGAGATCTGAGGATTGTGTTTTAAAGTCAGCCTGAGCAGGAAAGTCAATGGACTCATCTCCAATTATTCAATAAAAAAAACTGGAAATAGAGCTTTGTTCAAATAATAGAGTGCTAGCCTTGAGCAAAATGCTCAGGGACAGTGCCCAGGCATGAGTTCAAGTCCCAGAACCACCACACACACACACACACACACACACACACACACACACACACACACACACACACAAAGTTATTGAGAAGGGTGTATTTCTACACCGTGTAAAAGAAGAAAAAGCTATTATTGGGTAGTTTTTTGTTTTTTGTTTTTTTTTTTTTGGTCGGTCATGGGGTTTGAACTCTGGGCTTTGACACTCAACTCTTCAGCTCAAGGCTAGCACTCTACCACCTTCCCAGCCATCTTCCCTCACCTAGTTTTTATTTTTAGCCTTTAATTTTACTTAATCAGAATTGCTACATAATTGTGTTGTGTGTTTGCGTGTGTGTATGCACACATGCACGTGCACATGCACAATAACTGGAGCTTGAACGCAGGGCCTGGGTGCTCCCCCTTAGTTTTTATTTGCTCACAGCTAGAACTCTACCACTTGGGTCACAGTTCCACTTTAAGATTTTGGCTGTCTAGTTATAGATAAAAGTCTCTCAATTTGCCATCATGGTCTCAGGACTCAGTCTTCTAAGTAGTTAAAATGATAGACACAACTCTCCAACACCTTGCTGATAAATAATTTTTGAAAAATGGAAAGACCTAGAAAAAGTATATTAAGTGAAGTATGTCAGACCCAGAGAAACATAGATTACATGGTCTCCCTCATCTCTGGTAGCTAGAATGGGCCTATAAATATACAAGTAAACACACTGGATGGTAAGCAAGGGGTCACACATGAATTAACTGCAATGTAATAGACTCTATGGAGAGTGCAAATAGTATAATGCTTTAAAAAGACTAAGTCAAAGCCCAACAAAATAAGTAACAGGAAATGGGTACTTAAAAGTGGAGAGGGTGCAGAGGGGAGAGGCGCAGAAGGATGAAAGGGAAAGGGAGAATGCAGGCAAGAATTCATTGTATGTACCACAGACTTGAGAAGTGTACCACACACTTTGATTTGGGTCAAAGGGGGTGAAGATGTTGAAGTGGTGAACCAGTTCAAGATGCATTGTACACATAAACTGCTTTGTTAAATTGCAAAAATTCAATACTAAGGAAAGGAGTGGGTGAGAATATTGATTGGGGTGACAATGATCAAGATGCACTGCACTCATAAACTGCTTTAGTGAATGGTTAACTCCTTCATACAACTACTTAAAGATAATAAAGCTTTTTTAAATAAAGAAAACAAAAACATCTCAGTCAGAGCTGGTGGCTCATACCTGTAATACTAACTACTCAAGGGACTGAGATCTGATGATTGTAGTTCAAAGCCATCCTGGGCAGGAAAGTCTGTGAGACTCTTCTCTCTAATCAATCAACAACAAGCAGAAAACCAGAAATGGACCTGTGGCTTAAGTGGTAGCACAGGCCACAAAGTCAAGGCCCAGGACTGGCAAAAACAGCAATAGCAACAGCAACCACAAAAAAACAAAACCCACTGTTTTCTGTTAAAGAATAAAATATCACTAAGTGGTGAAGTTTTATAACTGATGTAATAACAATAGGAAATATAGAAGTAAAGGGTACATTGTGAAGAAACTTTATTACATAATAACTTACAAATTCATCTACATATTAGTTTACTAGTTTAATACAATTCCAGTCGAAATCCCTCATGATTTGGGAACAACATAGTCAATTTGTTAAGAAACTTCCATAGCTCTAGGGCCCTAGATTCAACCAACTGAAGAACACAAATATTTTTGTAAAAAAAGTATATGCTGAACATGTAAAGGCTTTTTTCTTGTTGTCAGTCCTTAAATAATATAACAACCATTTCCATAGTATTTACATTGTATTAGGTAGTTTAAGTAATATAGAGATGATTTAAGTATGTGTGAGAATATGTGTAGATCATTTGAAAAGCTCTTCCATTTTATATAAAGGACTTACGTAGCCTCAGATTCTGGCATGCAAGGAATGTCCTGAAACACAACCTCTACAGACAACTAGGAACAACTGTATTACAAAGCAACCGCAATTACAACAGAGCAACATCACCACAGAGACACAAAGAGAGACCAATAGAACAGATTAGAGAACTGTTAAAACTGTTAGTATACTTGACATCCATCATATTCTGAGAAAAACATACACTATTCAGTAAATTATGTTAGGAAAACTGGCTTACTATATAAAAAGACATAAAATTAGAATGCCTTATAATATTGAGAGCTCCAGGCAAGTACAAGGCTCTGATAAGTTAAAAAATCCCAGTACCAAGAAAGAAAAAAGAAAAGAAAGAAGGAAGGGAAGAAGGAAGAGGATGTTGAATTTCACTATCAGAAAACTACATACTATAAAAAAATGACAAATATTGTCAAACATTACAAACCCAGGTGTGTGCCAGCAGAGTTATGGATAATCACTTTGAGAGTAACCTATCATTTAAGGCAAAGACTGTAAGCCTACGATTTTGCCCACACACAAAAGGACACTAAAAGACAACGTTCATGTCTTGTCACAGAAGAAGGAAGCCAGAAGGCTCTGCAGAATGGCTTGATTCAAAAGATAAAGTACATAGTATCAGATCACCTAAGCAGTAGCACAATCTCACAACAGTGCCAACTGCGCTGTCCAAGGTCCTGACCACCGCAGTTCCTTACTACACCATCCCTACACCCTAGGTCCCTTTCCCCCATGTTCTAAGAATGCCCTCTGTGCCTCTCTGTGTTGAGCAGGTCAGTACAATTACCACTTGACTCCCTGCAGGTTGGCTTAGTGGTACCAAAACCCATTGACTTCATAGTTTAAACACACACACACACACACACACACACACACACACACATGCACACACACACAGAAGTGTGGCTCAATTAGGAGAATGCCAGCCAATGAATGAAGGGGTCAGGTACCAAGTTCAAGACCCAGCATCAGACCAAAAACAAACAAACAAAAAAAACAGCAATAATCATTTTAAACTACATATTTCAAAATGATGTTTAGAGTTCAAAGGGAGGAACTCACCCAGATGCCCTACAATAGATGAGTAGATAAAAAGAAAATATGGTAGCTATACAAAATGGAATTTTACATAGTCATTAGAATAATATTACACTATTTGCAGGGAAATGTATTGACCTAGAAAAAATCATTAAGTGAGGTAAACTAAGCTCTTATGCAAAAGCTAGATCTAAAAGACACTGGAGCATGACAAATTATATAAGATTCTAGGCATTCACACACAGTGAGACTAAAGAAGCATACTGTTAGGGGAGAAACACACAGGTGCAATAGCTATGGCCTCTGACCATATAAAATAATATTTATCAAAAGAATTCCAGGAAATGGAAATAAGTGGTATTATTTGTTATTGTTTTCTGTTCCTTTTGTCTTATTTATTCATTTATCTGTCTTTGGGAGAGTAAAGGGGGCACACAAATGGAGGGACAAAGAGTGAACAAATGCAGCAGTGGTACTCACTAGACCTTATGTTGAAAATGACCTATACAACTTGTGGGTTGGGACTGGAGGGAAAAACTGGGAGAGAGCAAGGGAAGGGGTGACATTGTCCAAAAAGAAATGTACTTTCCGGGCGCTGGTGGCTCACGCCTATAATCCTAGCTACTCAGGAGGCTAAGATCTGAAGATTGCAGTTCAAAACCAGCTTGGGCAGGAAAGTCTGTGAGACTCTTATCTCCAATAAACCCCCAGGAAACTGGAAGTGGCACTGTGGCTCAAGTGGTAGAGCACTAGCTTTGAGCTGAAGAGCTGAGGTACAGTGCCCGGGCCCAGAGTTCAAGTCCCACGACCAACAAAAAAAAAAAAAAGAAAGAAAAGAAAAAAAAAAGAAATGTACTGACTTACGTAACTGTAACCCCTCTGTACATCACCTTTATAATAACAATTTTAAAAAATTAAAAAAGAGAAGAACTCAATGAAAAGAGAGACAGCATACCCAACTAAAAGTGAGGGCTGACTGTGAGAGACAGGAGGAGGAGGACAGAGCCTGTGGACCTGACTGAGGCAGGACATGGTCAGTGTTCTCACTAACTCCCATGCTAGGAATCATGCCTAGCACACAGTAGGTCCATTACTACACATTCGATAGGTGAACTAAGAACAGGGCATAGCTGTATATTAAACATACCTTTGGTCTGCTCTCTGGCCTTTCCATGTGCTCAGTTGCTTTCTAACTCCATGTTATCTGTGCTAAGTGAGCTTCTTTAATTTTAGATAAATACTATAGTTTCGATTATTTGGATCCAAAAATATTGTACTTTCAATTATTTAAATAAACAAAGCCCTTATCCTAAATGTTTTGTCTTTGGCTCATCACTTTGATTTCAAATGTTGTTTTCATTAAGCTTTGTAGATTCATTTATCATGGTTTCATCTTCAGATGTGAATCCCTCCCCAACAATTATAAAGCTCCTCCTCTGACCTTGTTTCTGTCTGTACTTGGGAAGCATTCTACAGAATATAATCTTTTTTTTCTGGTACTGGTACTAGACTTGAACTCAGGACCTGATCTCTGTCCCTTAGTTTTTCTCAGTTAAGGCTGGCACTCTACCATTTGAACCTCCACTCTGTGGTTAATTGGAGATAAGTCTCATGGATGTTCTGGCCAATGCTGGCTTCAAAACATTATGTCGTGAACTTAGTCCTGAGTAGCTAGGATTGCAGGTGTGAGCCACCAATGCCTGGTTTTAGAATATAACTTTTGAACAAACTACACTTTTAAATGTGATATACTCTTAAAAAGCATTGAGCTTGCTTACCTGTGAATATGGAATGAGGGTTTCAAACTGCTGGTGAAGTTCCAGTAGCTGGATTAACTCTGCATTCTTCTTGGCCTTTTCTTTAATTAAATTAATAAAGTTTTCAGGATTGTCTGCAAATAAGCATGCAGCCTCTTTGGTATTGAAAGTGTAATAGTTATCTTTGTATTTTAAAATTCCAATTGCTGGGTTTCCTGAAGGAACAACAATTGAATTAGGTATGAGACAGTATTATTACTAACTACTAACTACTACTACCACCACTAATTTTGGTGGTAGAGCATCCCACCCAGCCCAAGTATGTGATTCTGTTTATCACAACCCATAGAACCATTACTTTACACTCCTGGCTTAGGGTATTTGTTGTTTAAGGAGTGTGTATGTGTGTGTGTGTAGGTGCATGTGTGTTTGTGTGTGTGTGTGTCTAGATGGGCTCACACATAGAGCCTTGGTCATGCTAAGCAAGTGCTTTACCACTAAGCTATATCCCAGTGCACATACTCTGCTTTCAATACATCAATTATATTTTTATTTTGCTAACATATCAGTTTCTAGTTATATAGCTATATCTATTATTAAATGGTAGATTTGAAGTTTATATTAAATTAATTATATTTTTAGATTTTTATTATATTTTGGTAGTACTGGAATTTGAATTCAGGGTTTCACACTCGCTACGCAGGTGCCACCTGAGCCACACCTCCATCTTTTTCTTTTCCCACTCTGGTTATTTCTGAGAGAGCATCTTGCTTTTTTGTTGTTGTTGTTGGTCATGGGGCCTGAACTCTGGGCCCAGACACTGTCCCTCAGCTCTTCAGCTCAACGATAGCGTTCTACCAGTTGAGCCACAGCGCCACTTCTGGTTTTCTAGTGGTTTATTGGAGATAAGAGTCTCATGGACTTTTCCTGCCCAGGCTGGCTTTGAACTGCTATCCTCAGATCTCAGCCTCCTGAGCAGCTAGGATTACAGGCGTGAGCCACCAGCACCCTGTGTGAACATCTTGCTTTTGCTCTAACTGGCCTGGGCTACAGTCTTCTAACTGTACTTCCTGCTACAGCTTTGGATGGCAAGCCTGGGCAATCCAGCCTTTTCTATTGAGTTGGGGGTATCACAATCTTTTTTGCCCAGTCTGATCTCAAACTATAATCCTACTATATCTACCACCTAAGTAGCTAGAATTACAGTCATGAGCCACCATGCCTGGCTTAGATTTTTTAGTTTTATAAAAATATTCCCCATTCAGCTGGATGCTGGTGGCTCACGCCTGTAATCCTAGCACTCAGGAGACTGAGATCTCTGGATGGTGGTTCAAAGCCAGCCTGGGAAGGAAAGCCTGCGAGACTCTTATCTCCAATAAACCACTCACAAAACCAAAGTGGTGCTGTGGCTCAAGTGGTAGAGCACTAGCTTTGAGCTGAAGAGCTGAGGGACAGCCCCAGGCCCAGTATTCAAGCTCCACCACTGACAAAACAAAAAAAATAAAACAAAAAAAACCCTCCCCATTCTCCAAATAAAAGATGTTAAAGACCCTTTTTGAAAAGCCATTTATTCAGCCAGGCACCAGTGGCTCACGCCTGTAATCCTATCTACTCAGGAGGCTGAGATATGAGGATCACAGTTCAAAGCCAGCCCAGGCAGGAAAGTGTGTGAGACTCCTATCTCCAATTAACTACCAGAAAATTGGAAGTGGCACTGTGGCTCAAATGGTAGAGCACTCGGCTTGAGCTGAAGAGCTTAGGTATAATGCCCAGAGGCCCAGAGTTCAAGGCCCATGACTGACCAAGAAAAAAGAAAAAGAAAGCCACTTATTCATTTGGAAGATTTTTTTCCCAATCTACTTAAACTACTTACTAAGGGATTTATTTAAAAAAAAACTCTAGTAAAAACTACAAAAGTGGGACATCTTTTCCAAAATGCAACTTAGCATGTTATAAAATATTCCCCATTGTAAAAAGATTGAGTACGCTATTAAATGTCCACAGTTTATGCATATTATTTAAGAAACAATATTATTTAATGTGTTTATTCTTTCATTACTTAGCAAATAGTTTACTGACCCTGTTCTTGGCACTAACAATACAGAAAAACACAAAGTCTTTGCTGTCACCAAATCACAAATATGTTACAGGCCAAAGATTTTTCAGGGCTACAGAGAAAAGTATTAAATAAGGCAAACTAAACACATAGCAAAAGGAAGAACGGGAGACTGATGTTTTAAACTGGGTAACTAGGGAAGGTTGGATAAGGTGACAGCACAGAACATGAGCGACTTGGGGGAGAGCTTTCCCCCAAGGGAATCACAGGTGCACTGGCTCCTGAACAGCAAGGACAATGTGGCTGGAGCAGAGGGAGTCAGGACAAGAGTGGTAGGCAGTGAAGTGACTGAAGCCATCTGAAAAGCACAGTGACTGTGGGCAAGCCACAGTGCCACCTGAGGATGTAAGCTGAGCGGTCTGCCTGCCGAGCAGCAGCAGGAGGGAAGTCCTACAAAATCCCCATGGGGTTGTGCAGGTGCTGCCACCCAGAAAGCCATGTAGTAAAAAGGATACAGCAAACAGAAATAAAAGACACAGGATTAGCTTCTTCAGAGGAGAGTCTGAAGCCCTCATGAAGCCTGGCAAGTCTACTTTCTTTTTTTTTTTTTTTGGGGGGGTCCCGTCATGGGACCTGAACTCTGGGCTTGGGCGCTGTCCCTCAGCTCTTCAGCTCAAGGCTAGCGTTCTACCACTTGAGCCACAGCGCCACTTCCGGCTTTTTTCTTTTTGCTTATGTGGTGCTGAGGAATCGAACCCAGGGCCTCAGGCATGCAAGGCAAGTGCTCTACCACTGAGCCACCTTCCCAGCCCCGTCTTTCTACTTTCCTCTGTCTTTTCCTCTTAGAAACATGGTGGACAGGGCTGGGCACCAGTGGCTACCACCTGTGATTCTAGTTACTTAAGAGACTGAGCTCTGAGGATCGCAGTCAAGGCAGCAAAGTTGGTGAGGCTTTTATCTCCAATGTAACCAGTTGAGCATTTTTTTTTCTGGAGATGGAGTGCTTTGAGGACTTTGATGCCAGAACTGGGCAGGCGGCAAAGATTACAGGCATGAGCCACTGGCACATGTTTTATAATAGATTCATGTTTTGTAACACAGGCTGAGCATCCCTACTCTGAATTGTAAGGTAACCCAAATTGGGAATTTTCTGAGTGACTACATGACGATGTCATAAGTAGAAAAGTCTACACCAGACCTTGTGTGATGGGTCCTGGTCAAAATGCAGTGCATTAAAAATACGGTATGTCTTTGGGCTCTGTGTATCCAATGTACATGAAACGTAAATGAATTCTGTTAAGATTAGAGCCCCATCCCCAGCACATGTCTTATGCAAACATTCCAGAGCTTAACATACTCTAATATCTGAAACCTATCTTGTCCCAAGCATTACAGATAAGGGACACTGAAGTTGTCTACACATGCTATCACTTATCACTTGAAATCATGTGAAGGTAACCAAGTTGTACTGTGCACACTTCCAACATGGAGATACTACAGCTAGCATCTTTTGCACCTAACTATCCAACCCCAGGAAGCTATAAAGCATCAACCAGTGAGTTATAATAAATGCTTGGCACAGAGGAGGACCAGCATTATTTTCAGTAACATACCTGGAAGGAGAAGACCATCGGTTGTAGCAAATGTGTATCCACAAAATCCACGATACTGAATTAACAATTTATCAAAATTTGCTGTGGTTTCTGGAAAAAGCCATTCCAGTTTTCTGATGTCCACTGAAGATACTCTTTCCTCTAAAATGTGAGTAGGAAAACTTGCATTCATTGGAAAGATTAAACTTCCAAAACCAGTCACCAGTAGTTTATTACAAACATTAGCTTTCAGCTTTTTATTGTTTTGTATTTCTTGTGTTTGGCAGAACCTTGATACAAAAAACAGATTTTTAGCTGGGCACCAGGCTCCTACCTGTAGTCCTAGTTACTCAGGAGGCTTGGATCAGAGGATTACAGTTTGTCTTTTTTTTTTTTTTTTGGTCGGTAGTGGGGCTTGAACTCTGGGCCTGGGCACTGTCCCTCAGCTCTTCAGCTCAAGGCGAGCGCTCTACCACTTGAGCTACAGCGCCACTTCCGAGGATTACAGTTTGAAGCTAGTCCAGACAGGAAAGTCCTTGAGACTTATCTCTAATTACACACACACACACACACACACACACACACACACACACACTCACACACACACGCATGCACACATACTTGCACGCACACACGCACATGTGCCAGTAGTGGAGCTGTGCCTCAAGTGATAAAAGCTTTGAGCAAAAAAAGCTCAGGGACAGTGATCATACCGAGTTTAAACCTCAGTACCAGCACAAAAGGCCATGAGTCACAAAAGAAATCCTGGGCAGAAAAAGTAGTGCTAAAAGTATAACACTTCCAGACTTCAAGCTCTTACTACAAGCACTATAGTAATGAAAACAGGTTGGTAATAGTACAAAACAGGCCCCAAGACCAATGGAACAAAATAAATCCATAGACCTATACCCATCTAATATTTAAGAGGACATATATCTATCTACTATTTGATAAACCAAAAATATATTTGATAAACCAAAAAGCCTCCATAACATTATGCCATGTGTGGAAAATGAACCAGATCCCTATTTGTCACCTTGAATATCAATTCAAAATGGATCAAAGACTTGGATGTAAGACCAGTACAGCTTCTCAGGCACAGGCAAGAACTTTCTGAGTAAAGCTCCAGGGGCTCAGCAAATGGAAGAACTGATAAATGGGACTGCATCAAACTCAGAAGTTTCTGCATAGCAAAAGACAAGCTATTAAAAAGCTAAATAGATAGCATATAGAATGTGAGAAGATCTTTACCAGCCATATGCCAGACAGTAGCCTAGTATCTAGAATATACAAAAAGCTTAAGAAACGAAACCCTCAAACAATCAACAACCTGATTAATAAATGGGTAAATGAGCTAAAAAGGGCTTTTTCAGAAGAAGAAGTACAAAGGCTAACACACACAAGAAGAAATCCTCAACAACTTTGTCCATAAAGGAAATGTAAACCAAAACAACATTGAGAGTCCATCTCACCTCAGCTGGAACATCCATCATCAAGAATACAAACAAAAACAGATGCTTGAGCCGGCTGCCGGTGGCTTGAGCCTGTAATCCTAGCTATTCAGGAGCCTTAGATCTGAGGATGATGGTTGGAAACCAGCCTGTGGTTTCCAATTAATCTCCAATTAACCACAGAAAAAGCTGGAGTGGTGTTGTGGCCTTGAAAAAAAGGAGCTTGGGGATAATGCCCAGGCCAAGTTCAAGGTCTAAGACTGAAAAAAAATAAAGATTAAAAAAAAATAACAGATGCTGGCATAGATGTAGGAGGAAAAGTATTCTAATACATTGTTGGTGGGAAGCAGTACAGGGATTCCTAAAAACAACAACAGAACTAACTACCCTATGCTCTAGCAATAAACACTCTTAGGTGTTTATCCAGAATCAGGATACAGTAAAGCCCAGCACAACCATGTTCACTATGTTCACTATTCACCATAGCCAATGCATGAAATCAGCCCAGGTGCCCCTCAATGGGTGAATGGATCAAGAAAATATAGTCTATATACACAACAGAATTTTACTCATCTATTAAAAGAATGATACTGCATCGTTTGTAAAGAAATGAATGGACTCAGAAAACAAATCATGTTAAGTGAAGTTAGGCCCAAAGAGACAAAGGACAAATGTTTTCTCTCATATGTGAAAGCTAGCACTAATTTATAAGTATACCAGTAAATACTTCAGGACTCCATGCCAGTGTACATAGATGTATTAACTGAAACATGGTTATTTTCAAGCAAGAATTCAAATAGTATAATGTCTTAGGAAGGGTAGGGTTAGGAAGGATGGGAAGAAGGATGAAAGGGGTGATGACCAAGATGTAAGATAACACGGCATTGGGTAACTATTTAAAGTTAAAAATAACTTTAACTACGTACAGTTATACATAATTACTTAAAGATAGTAATCATTTAAAAAACATATTTCTGGTGAGACTGTTAATACAAAGAAATACAAATGAGGGCCAGGCATTTTGATTCATATCTGTAATCCAAGATACTTGGGAGGCAGCGATCAGGAAGATAAAGGTTCAAGACCAGCTTGGGCAGTAACTTTCCAAGGTCAACATAACTTGCTGGGGGAAACAAGGAAGTAGAGGCTGGGAATATGGCTTAGTGGTAGAGTACTTGCCTAGCATGTATGAAGCCCTGGGTTCAATTCCTCAGTACCACATAAACAGAAAAAGCTGGAAGTGGTGCTGTGGCTCAAGTGGTAGAATGTTAACCTTGTGCAAAAAAAAAAGCTCAAGGAGAGTGCTCAGTCCCTGAGTTCAGGCCCCAGGACTGGCAAAAAAGAAAAAAGAAAAAAAAAATAGAAAAAAAAAAACCCTGGGAAGTAGAACTTTGCTCCAGAATGGACACAAAGGAGAGGAGCAATGAGAAAAGCAATGTCTGAGGGCTAACCAACACACATGTGCCAGGGCATGTAGTTTTCCTGCTGGCCCAGACCTTCCTTTGGAAGAACTTCTTCAAGTTGGTAGAGTTCTTAACAAAATAGTAGATGGCAAAATGCTTATACGTTAGGACACTGAATCTCAAAAACAGTAGAGAATGTCCTAAACAGGAGTCAAAGAAATATCTTACTAACTTGACTTTTATTCAGGTAGCATATCATTTTGCTCATTATATTTTAAGACTCTCATATCTATTAGTTTACTTATTTGATATGAAATTGACCATGTTTTATATAAACAATATATTAAGAAAACATTATTCCCCCAAGATTCTTCAGTTTTACAGTTCCACTTACATTTCTGTGCCTGATTCTAAATACGAATAGTAGACCTACAAATAACTTTATGGCTACCACTAGATATTAATATATAACCTGGAAAAATACATCTAAGTTTTCCTGGATATGATCAAGGCCTCTAGCAAGAATAAGTTACACAGGTGTGAATTAAATTATCTCAAAAGAACACTGAAGTTGTGCAGAGCAGAGGCTCATGCCTATAATCCTAGCTACTTAGTAGGCTGAGACCTGGAGATCATGGTTCCAAGTAAGCCTAGGGTAGAGATAGGACTCAAGTGATAGAGTACCAGCCAAGCAAGCAAGATGAGAAAGAATACAGGCCCTGAGTTCAAACCTTGGTACTGACATGTGCGTGCATGTGTGCATACACACATACACACACACACACAATACAACTGGCTCTCTTGAAATTCACTAGAAAATAACCTGAGTGTTCTAATAAATACAAAACTCTGATGACAGTGAGATAGGACATTTAGATAACACATCTAAATCTCAGAAGTTGTGAGTGGATGACCCTGGTAATTAGGAGTAGGGTTGAGCTCAGTGCCTACGGATGCAATGACTTCCATGTGTGGTTTCATTTCACATTTGGTTGGACAATATGTCCTTTTTGTTGTTGTTGCGTCGTGGGGCTTGAACTCTGGGCCTGGGCACTGTCCCTGTGCTCTTCAGCACAAGGCAAGTGCTCTACCACTTGAGCCAAAGCACCACTTCTGATTTTCTAATGGTTTATTGGAGATAAGAGTCCCACAGACTTTCCTTCCTGGTCTGGCTTTGAACCCTGATCCTCAGATCTCAGCCTCCTGCATAGCTAGGATTACAGCCGTGAGCCACCGGCACCCAGCCTAAAATTTGCTTGTCTGAAGTACTGGGGACTTGAACTCAGGACCTTACCCTTATTAGACAAACACCATATCATTTGAGCCAGACCCCCAGCCCTTTTTACTTTACATTTTTAGGTAGGCTTTTGTTTTTTTTTTTTTCTACACATGCCATAGTAAGGAAGTAAAATAAGTATTAAAATCCTGAACTGACAAGACTTTTTGTTGTTGTTGGTTTTGGTCATGGGGCTTGAACTCTGGGCCTGGGTACTATCCCTGAGCTCTTTACCTCAAGGACAGCACTCTACCACTTGAGCCACAGTGCCACTTCTGGTTTTCTGGTGGTTTATTGGTGATAAAGTCTCAGGGACTTTCCTGCGTGGGTTGGCTTTGAACCACAATCCTCAGATCTCAGCCTCCTGAGTAGCTAGGATTACAGGCACCCAGCCAGTAGCACCCAGCACAAGATACTTTTGAGTGTTCAATTTATATACACTTCAATATATAAATATATAAGAAAGGGAATTATTGCCACATTTTTCTATTTTTACCCAAATAGGATTTGAAAAGGAAATTGATATATTATTTAATTTCATATTCTGGCAAAACTTTAATTTTAGGTAATAACTCAAGGTCCAGACTCTACTCTGGCATTTCTCATAAATTTTGAACTGTCTTTAAGATAGAAAAGACTGAAAGGATAAAAGTTTGTCAATAAAGGTAGTTTATCTATAAGAATCAGCATATCTCTTGAAGGCTTAACTGATTTTACAGGGACAAATGTATTGGTTTATAAATTCTTAACTTGATCTGAGGTAAATACTTAGCAATGGCATTCCAGAAAACTAGAGATTTATTTCTAAGAACTATAGCAAAGATTAATATCTTTTCCTACTATATACACATCAAGAATAAAACTTCTAGGGGTTGGGTGTGGTGTCTCATGCCTATTATGCCCTCTAGACAGAGACAGAAGGATCTCAATTGGAGGCCCATACTGGAATTTGTCGGACCCTGTTTGAAGCAAAAAAGGCTGGAGGTATAATTTAAGTGGCAGGATAGTTGCCTATCAAGCATAATGCCCTGAGTTCAAATCCCAACACCACCAAAACAATACTAATAATAATAGTAATAAAGCCTCTAATAACTCTACAATATATGCATATGATCATTGTTCAGCAAAATATGAAGAATAGCATTCAGAAAGGTCATTGCTGGTTAAAATTTACATACTTTGTACTTGCCACAATTTAAAAAAATGAACAGTAGTATTTTACAATCAAGAAAGACACTCGGTGCTTTCTCAGAAACCTGTAATATGAAAATGTTAAAGAAAAAGTGAGTTTATGCTAGAGAACTGCTACAGAGGAGGAGGAGTGAAGGGTGGCCTTCATTACCCATGTGTTCTTTGATTCTGTACACATCTGTCTTCACAGTCACATCTTTAAGAAGCTCTTTCATGACTTTGTGAGGAAAAAGCAGTTCATGAGTGCCCAGGAATGGCTCCAGGTGTGTGGTCAGGTTACTGAGGACACTAATCAAAACAGTCTCATCCTGAAAGCTTGTCCAAAGGCTGGCCAGTACTGTGAAGATGGGCTGAGGGAGAGAAAAATAACCCACAATGTAATGTGTGAAAAGATGGATAGGTCATTGCATTCCTTTTTGTGTGTATGTGCAGGTACTGGGGCTTAGACCAGGGTTTTATGTGCTCAAGGCTGGCACTCTACCACTTGAGCCACAGTACCACTTCCAGTTTTCTGGTGGTTAATTGGAAGTAAGAGTAGCAAGGACTTTCCTGTCTGGGCGGGCTTCGTGGATCCTCAGATCTCAGCCTCCTGAGTTGCTAGGATTACAGGTATGAGCCACGGGCACCCGGTTGATTTGCATTTCTTTTATGGACAGAGATGTTGAACATTTCTTCGTGTGTCTATTGGTCATTCTTACTTCTTCCTCTGAAAAGTCTCTCTTTAAGTCTTTAGCCTATTTATTAACTAGGTAGTTGATCTTTTGAGGGTTTTTATTTTTATTTTTTGTCGGTCGTGGGGCCTGAACTCTGAGCCTGGACACTGTCCTTGAGCTCTTCAGCTCAAGGCTAGCAGGCTCTATCACTTGAGCCATAGCGCCACTTCCAGCTTTTTTCTTTCTGCTTATGTGGTGCTGAGGAATCAAACCTAGGGCCTCATGCATGCGAGACAAGCACTCTACCACTGAGCTACCTTCCCAGCCCAGGGGTTTAATTTTTTGAGCTCTAAGTATATTTCAGATATGAGGCTCTTGTCTGATGCATAGCTGGTAAAGATCTTCTGCCATTCTGTGGGCTTTCTATTTATCTTGCTAGCTATGTCCTTCGCCGTACAGAAACTCTTCCATTTGATGTTTTCCTTTGTATCTAGTCTTTCTATGATGTGTTGTGATTCTGGATCTTTGCTTAGGAAGTTTTGACCCATGCCAAGGAGCCCTAGTGTTTCCTCTATCACTTCTTGTAATATTTTCATGGTATCTGGTCTTACATTGAGGTCTTTCATCCATTTAGAATTGATTCATGGGAGGGTGCATTTCAGTGGATGAATAGATGGAGAAAATGTAGTATATATACACAATGAAATTGTACATTTCCACCAGAAAGAATGATATTGTACCATTCATAAGGAAATGGACAGACTTAGAAAAAATTATATTAAGCAAAGTAAGTCACATCCCCAAAACTATAGGTTACATGGTGTCTATCATTTTTGGTAACTAGAAAGTGCCTATCAACCTACAAGTAAACACACTGGATGGTTAAAAAAATACACTGGGAAATAATAAATTATACAGGTCTCTAGACATTCACACAGTGAGACCACAGTGAGATATTACTAGCAGTGGATCACAGAGGCTCAATAGCTATTGGCATATGATTATATAAAATAATACTTTACAAAATGAACTCCAAGAAAAGGAAATGAGATATTTTGTTGTTGTTGCTGTTTGTGTCATCTTTTCTTTCGCTTGTTTGTCAGTTTGTCTTTGGAATGGTAAGGGGAGTACAGAAAAGGTAGAAAAAAAGTTGAACAAATGCAACAGTGGTACTCACTAGACACCATGTGGAAAATGAACTGTACAGCTTGTGGGTAGAAACAGGTGGGGAAAACTGGGAGAAAGTGAAGAAAGGGGTAATATGATTCAAAAAGAAATGTACTCATTACCTGACTTATGTAACAGTAACTCCTCTGTACATCACCTCTACAATAATAAAAATACATTAAAAACTAAGTATAGTTGTCCTTTGTAAAGAAACTCATCCTTTCTTAAGTGAAAGTTTTGGGAAATTGCACAACAGGCTCTAGATAGAAGTTCGATTTACAAGAAAATAAACTTGTATTTTATTTCAAAGAATTTGTTTTGCTTGGTGTTGAGAAAGACAATCCTTTTTTTTTTTTTTTTTTTTTTGGGTCCGCTCGTGGGGCCTGAACTCTGGGCCTGGGCACTGTCCCTCAGCTCTTCAGCTCAAGGCTAGCGCTCTACCACTTGAGCCACAGCACCACTTCTGGTTTTTTTCTTTTTGCTTATGTGGTGCTGGGGAATCGAACCCAGGGCCTCATGCATTGCAAGGCAAGCGCTCTACCACTGAGCCACCTTCCCAGCCCCAAGAAAGACAATCCTTATCTGATATCCATAATTCATTTTTCCTGAGCTCTTTTTCCACAGATTACGTTTACCTAAATCATATTGCTTTTTAGTTATGAAAGTACTGCACTTGAAAATCTGCAGTATTTAAAAAAAAAATCACGTATTTAATTTTGTGTTTTTACCTTCAATACTTGGTGCAGCAAAAGCTGCAAAGATGTACCACTTCGTCAGTGAAATGGAATTTTCTATATCAAAATTCTACTTTATTCTATATCTAAATTGTGTATCTAAATTCTACTTTAAAAAGTAAGTTTGCTTTTAAGGAGATCAAAAGGCAGAGTGCTCAAAAGGCAGAGCCAGAAGGATCATGAGTTAGAGGTAAGCCTGGGCTATGTAGTGAGTTCTGTTTGGATTCCATATGAACGCTGTTGCAAAAAGAAACCAAAGGCCAGGTGCTGATGGCTTATGTCTGTAATCCTAGCTATTCAGGATCAAGGTTCAAAGTCAGCCCATGCAGGTAAGTCAGTGAGACACATCTCCAATTAACCACCAAAAAGCTAGAAATGGAACTGTAGCTCAGGTAGTAAAGTGTTAGCTTGAGCAAAATTAGCTCAGGGACAGCACCTAGGATATAAGCCATCAGCAGGATTGTATATCAGTGGTAGAGCACTTGCGGAGCATGAGCTTGCCCTGCCTGCTCAGCACCATTTAAAAAAAAAAAGGTCAGAGTTGATTACAAATACTTACAAAGACTTGTGAGGTTGGGACAGCTGTTTTTGACTTTACAGTCATTTTTAATTGTTCCATCTGGGCTCCTAACTGCCTTATCATCTTTTCCACTTCTTGAGCACAACCAATTATATCTGACTGTGAAGAAAATAGTTGCATTAATGTTTTTATAATCTCAGTGGAAGAAGTCCATGTGTTTTAAGCCCTATCTGCTCCCCTCTCCCAGCCTGGGTAGCAGTGACACTGTGACTCTGGCCTCAGTGACAGCAGGGCCCACTCTCCATGGCTCCCTCAACACCCACAGCATGAGCAATACTGATGATGCTCCACTACTGTTTGTAGCCTCAAGGAATCCTTTGGAATATAGTGGGTAGAATTTTTCTCAAATGTATATTTGAGATATTAAACATAGCTATCCTCCTGAGATACAGACTTATGGTAATCCATTTTGCATAGTTGTGTGATTAGTATTTTCCAATTTACCTTGATAACTCTCACAAAATGTACCACTGAAAATGGTTTTGATACCAAGATTTAATAAATTATATAGAAACTTTAAAGTCACAGCATCAAAAAACAAAACAAAACCACACAAACACAGAAACATAGACACACAACACACACACAGACACACAGACACAGACACAGACACACACACACACACACACACACACACACACACCCAAACCGGGCGCTGATGGCTCACGCCTGTAATCCTAGCTACTCAGGAGGCTGAGATCTGAGGATCACGGTTCAAAGCCAGCCCAGGCAGGAGAGACTGTGAGACTCCTATCTCCAATAAACCACCAGAAAACCGGAAGTGGCGCTGTAGCTCAAGTGATAGAGCGCTCGCCTTGAGTTGAAGAGCCGAGGGACAGCGCCCAGGCCCAGAGTTCAAGCCCCACGACCGACAAAAAAAACACACACACACACCCGTAGCCGGGCACTGGTGGCTCACACCTATAATCCTATCTATTCCAGAGGCTGAGATCTGAAGGTTCAAAGCCTGCCCAGGCAGACAAATCTGAGAGACTCATCTACAATAAACCAGCAAAAAGCCAGACAGGTGTGCCTCAAGGGGTAGAGAACTAGCCTTGAACAACATAGATAAGCAAAATCTCTGCATTCAATACCCAGTGCCAACACACACACACACACACACACAGAAACCACAACAATAAATAAAACTCATTGTATTTCTGATAAAACTATGGTTCTGATACAACAATGTGAAAACTAGTTGCCAAATGCTAAATTTGAAATACTAACAAGTATTTGTTTTACCAGGTGCTAAACAACATTTAGTAAGTGCAGTACAGGTGAGAATAAAATGATGAAGGACAGAAAGGTAAGTTGACTCCAAGTACAGAGCCCAACCCTTACCCATCCTACTGCATGACCTCAGGTAGGGCCAGAAATGTGTTAGTATATTGTAAACTAGTAATATTTTTTTCTTTCTCTTTTTCCCCTTCAGACAGGGTCTTGCTATTTAGGCCAGGCTGCCCTAGACTCATAATTCTTCCGCCTCAGCCTGTGGAGTGCTGGAATTACAGGAGTGTGCCACTATACCCAAAGAGACAAAAATTCCAACATCCAGTTTAATTCTATTCTGTAATCTTTTCTGCACTTGTTTGTTTTTTTCAGTGCTGTGGATCAGATCCGAGACCTCACACATAAGTGCTCTACCACTGAACTGTATCCCCAGTTTTAAATAATTGTATCCCCAGTTTTAAATAACAAAAATGCATGAATTATGAAGGAATTGTTTCGAAATCATTAATTACTCAAACAGTCATTATTTCATAAGAAACAGCAAACAGTGTTAACATATTTCATCTAAGGAAAGTTTTGCTCATAAATAGAACTCTGCTTTATTTATCCATAATGCTATTTAAATGTTTCCCTTTTCATGTTTCATTGTTGCAAAAAGCATTGTCTGTCACATCTAACACATCTTCCCACTTCTCTTGTTTTGTTTTAGCAATCAAATATGACAATGTGGTGACGTCTTAAAAGATTTTAGATTGTTCAACAAGAAACACTGAAGTCTGCACTGTGTTCCCAAGGCAGAAGCCACATTTAACACAGGACACTTACATCATCTACAATGGACGCCAGTCTAGGGCCCCAGCCCCCCCAGCTAGGTTTGCAGGGTCTCATCATGAAGTGGGCATGTACATGGGACCTCTTGACTTTTCCTAATAATATCTAGAATAGTCACTCTACTTACATCTTACCAAAGAGAATGTATTCACAAGGGCAGTTCATTGTTGTAATGTCAGTTCTCCATGAATACTGTCACTTAAAAATTTTATCGTAGTCTGGTCAAATGCCTATGGGATATCTATGATACCAGCATGTTTTCTTGTCTCTTTTATTCTGTTTTATAAAAATGTATAAGTTCCTCAGACTGTCTTTCATGGATAATTTTCAACAAGTCTGGAAAAATGCATATAGCTAGAGAGGAGAAGAACAGGGAGTTGGGGTTTTGTGAGAGGAATCAGGCTACAGATCTGCTGTCCAGTGTGATACCTAGAGCTAATAATGCCACACTGTCCTCATTAAAATGGGTTATGAGGATAGACTTCATGTTAGATGTGTAAGAAAAAGAATATTATTGGCTGGGTGTCAGTGTAATCCCATTGACTCAGGAGGCTGAGATTTGAGGAAAAGCCAGTCCAGGCAGAAAGTTTGTGGAGCTGTGGGTCAACTGGTAGAGCACTAGCCTTGAGTACAAAAGCTTATGACAGCACTCAGACCCCGAGTTCAAGCCCCAGGACCAGCACACACACAGACACAGACACACAGACACACACACACACACACACACACACACACACACACACACAAATCAAACATATTCACCTGGAGTTTTACTTCTCAGGAAAAATCAAAGTGCTTTGTATTGCCTCATCTGTGAATAGACCTTGGAGACACTGGAAAGTGTGGGGTTCTAGAAAAATCTTGATGTATGGTTTTTTAAAATTTAGGGGGTACAACATTGGAGTTTTGAACTGTTGTCTTCATACTTGCTAGATAGGAGCATCTATCTCTAAGCCACAACTGCAGTACTATTTTCTCTGGAAGGAATTCTCTTCTCTCAGCAAGACAGAGGACAGAACTGATCTGATCCTTGCTCCCTTTTCTTTTTCGGTAAAATCCTGATCAGGACAAAGTAAAACAACTATTTACCCAAGCTACAATTGGGGTTTTAAATGTTTATATAAACTAAATTTAACTTTGGCAAGAGACAATCTTTAAAGTCAAACTCAATGCTTCAAATTTTTTTTTACCAATATCTCTTCAAATAATGTGACTTAAAAGTATATTCATAGACTTCAAGATAAGAAGTCTCAAAGGGATGATAAGAGAAAAACAAAGCGGATAAGAGAAAAACATGTTTGACAAGAAATGTTCTCATTACCTTACTCATGTATCTTGTAACCCCTCTGTACAGCTTCTTTACAATGAAATACTTTTTTAAAAAAAAGATAAGAAGTCTCAGCTAAATATAAATAGGTATTTTCTAGCTAATATTAGGTATACTAATACTCATTCTATAAAGACCAACCGTATCTAGTTATAACAAGTGAAAGGAAGCCTGTAAGCAGCAAAGAGAAAGTGAAGAGATTTCAATCCCATCCTGCTACAGTTAGGATAAAATCGCAGGGAAGAACACTAAGACAGATGCCTGCTTAATAATGTGAGCACAGGGGAAATAACACTCCTTCAGCTTGTTCCCTCACAAAACGGAGTGAGAACTGCTCTGCTAAGGCCTGACAATGATGGTGATCATGGTCATAGACAACGACATAGGCATCCACATCATCAATTTATTGGGTTCTTCCTGTGTGCCGGACATTGTTCTACCTTATCCACATAGTAGACACCATGTAATGGGCTGAAAATGGTATCTGTCCCCAACAGGTTTGTGTTGGGGTCTTGATGCTACTTTCACTTCTGGAAGTGGGCCTTTCTGGGAGAAGTAGGTCATGTCTGTGTCTTGTTATGGCTATTCACTTGCCTGCTCCCTTCCTTTTTTTCTTCCTTCTCCCCTCTCTCCTTCCCTGCTTTCCTTCCTCCCTCCCTCTTCCTTCCTTCCCTTCTTTTTCTCTCTTAATTTCTGCCTCTCTTTTCCTCTGTCTCTGCCTCTCTCCCTATGTCCTGTCCCCCATGAGGTGAAGAACCTTGCCTACCACATGCTCCCATTGCCATGATGCTCTGCCCAAGAAAATGGGTCAAGCAACAATGAACCAAGATAAATCTTTCCTCCTTTAAATTGTTTATATGAGGTATTTTGTCATGGTAACACAAATTAATACAGATCATCTTGCATATATGGAAGCCAAGGCACAGGGGAGTTGAGCAACTGCCTTTTTTTTTTTTTTTTTGGGTCTGGTCGTGGGGCCTGAACTCTGGGCCTGGGCACTGTCCCTCAGCTCTTCAGCTCAAGGCTAGCACTCTACCACTTGAGCCACAGCGCCACTTCCGGCTTTTTTCTTTTTGCTTATGTGGTGCTGAGGAATCGAACCCAGGGCCTCGAGCATGCAAGGCAAGTGCTCTACCACTGAGCCAACTTCCCAGCCCCCGAGCAACTGCCTTTAGGACAGAGTTAAGTGAAAAACAGGAGTAGAGCCCCTGCCATTCGATGAAAGCATGGGCTCCCTGTAGTGGTGAGAGGTGGAACTCCAACAAGAATTTAATACTGTCAGCTAACTGAATATGATCCATGACTGGAGGCTAGAGACTCACTCTCTAATGGATGGAATCCTCTGCTACATCCCTACAGTGTATGTAACAGCTTCCCTAGGTCCTTGCTTATAATATGTCCTCCAAATGCAGATAACAAACATGAGTAGGAGTTTCCATGCCTCAAGACAAAATGATTCTAAAATCCTTTTAGTATCTGATGGGTTATGAGGCTAAAGTCAATGTCAAGGGGCCATTTGCCAACAGGATGATCTGATTTGAGTAACTGATTTCCAGTCCTCTCTTCCAAAGGTAATCAGGTAAGAGGTCAGTGAACACACCCATGGTTTGTTGCAATGAAGGCATTGGGATGCTTATCTCTTTATTCTCTACAGTGAGGTAAAGAGAAAAGGCAGATCAAGTACATTGAAAAGTAGTAGCAACTCATTAAGATGTAAGTTAAGCCGGGCACAGTGGCTCATGCTTGTAACCTACCTACTTGATATGATGGCTATCAAGAAAAAAAAAAGTTGTGGAGGTGGGAGTGAAGGGATGGTAGGGGAAAAACAAAGGAGGAGGCAACAATGCTCGATAGAAAATGTACTCATTATCTTGCTCATGTAACTGTAACCCCTCTGTACAGTATTTTTTTTTTTTTTTGGGTCCAGTCGTGGGGCCTGAACTCTGGGCCTGGGCGCTGTCCCTCAGCTCTTCAGCTCAAGGCTAGCGCTCTACTACTTGAGCCACAGTGCCACTTCCAGCTTTTTTCTTTTTGCCTATGTGATGCTGAGGAATCGAACCCAGGGCCTCAGGCATACAAGGCGAGCGCTCTACCACTGAGCCACCTTCCCAGCCCCATCTGTACAGTATTTTTACAATAAAAAATGTACAAAAAAATCTGAAAAAGCTGGGTGTGGCATCACAAAATATTATTCCAGCTACAGAAGGAAGTCTGAATAGGAGAATTGCACCAGGGCAAAAGATAAGACTCTAGGGTCTGGGAAGGTGGCTTAGAGTGCTTGCCCTATATGCATGAGGCCCTGGGTTTGATTCCTCAGCACAACATAAGCAGAAAAACCTGGAAGTGACACTGTGGCTCAAGAGGTAGAGCACTAGTCTTGGGCTGAAGTTCTGAAGGATAGTGCCCAGGCCCAGAGTTCAGGCCCCATGACCAACAATAATAAAAAAACAACAACAAAAAAAAACAAAAAAAAAACACCTCTATCTCAGAAATAACCAGAGGATAAAAAAGGCTAACTGGGAGAGAGCAAGGGAAGAGGTGACATTGTCCAAAAAGTACCCATTACCTGACATATAACTGTAACCCCTCTGAATATCACCTCTACAATAACAAGAAAACATAAAATTAATTAAAACACTTCAGAAGAAAAAGAAAGCCAGAGGTATGGGTCATGGGGAAAACCTGCCTAGCAAGTGGGAGGCCCCCAGTTCAAACTCAAGTCCACTAAAAACAAAGAAAAGCAAGTTAAGTAAAAGAGGCCAGAAGACATCTCTGAAGAAATCAGTATTCGCTTTATACAAAGGACAGTTCTGGTGACCGAGTCTCACCATTATTGGAGAGCTGAGGCAATGTAAGGGTAAATGATGACAGCATATAGAGGTTTTGTCCATATGATTCCTAGCTCATAATTCCCTCAGGCAGACCATAGACATGAGAATTTCTCTTCCCATGATGAAGTTATGGAAACTACTCTCTCTGCCTTTCCATCTTAGAGTTGGCCATGAAGAATTCTCTGACCTGAAGTTGTCCAACATGGTCATAAGACCATCATTCTGACGTAACATGTACCACTGCTCCTAGTTAGTTTTAGAATTCTGTGTAGCTCTTCATCTCAAAGAAAGGGCACTGCTGCTTTTTAAAAGTTTTAATGTAGTTTTTTTTTTGGGTCCGGTCGTGGGGCCTGAACTCTGGGCCTGGACGCTGTCCCTCAGCTCTTCAGCTCAAGACGAGCGTTCTACCACTTGAGCCACAGCACCACTTCCGGCTTTTTTCTTTTTGCTTATGTGGTGCTGAGGAATCGAACCCAGGGCCTCATGCATGCAAGGCAAGCGCTCTACCACTGAGCCACCTTCCCAGCCCTTTTAATGTAGTTTGACTTGTTAATTAGACCTAAAAACATCAGCTATAACAATCAGATGCATGCACAGGTATCAAGATTTGAACTCAGGGTCTTGAACACTTGTTGGCTTCTTTCCTCAAGGCTGGTGCTCTACTACCTGAGCCACACCTCCTTTTCCAGCCTTTTTCTGGTTAGTTGGAGATAAGAGTTTCTCAGATTTGTCTACCTGGGCTGGCTTCAAACCTTGATTCTCAGATCTTAGCCTCCGCTAGGATTACAGGTATTTGAGCCACTGAGGCATGGCTGTAACAATCTTTTCTATCAAGTTTTTACAATAAGGGCAAATAATTATACAAAAGTCATCTGAGTGCCAACATTCTATGAAATAAAATTAGCGAGCTGGGAAGGTGGCTCAGTGGTAAAGCGCTTGCTTTGCATGCATGAGGCCCTGGGTTCGATTCCTCAGCACCACATAAGCAACAAGAAAAAAAGCCAGAAGTGGTACTGTGGCTCAAGTGGTAGAGCGCTAGCCTTGAGCTGAAGAGCTGAGGGACAGTGCCCAGGCCCAGAGTTCAGGCTCCACAATCGGACCCAAAAAAAAAAAATATTATCTGCTTCAAATGAAAACAAACACCACAATTATTCTCATATATACTCATACCATCAGTTAATGACAGCTTGTTCCAAAGAAAATCAACTATGAAATCAACTTCTACCCTCAAAATCAAAATCCAATTTCTCCATTCCTATTTTAATTCTTTTTATGGGGGGGAGGTCCAGTCGTGGGGCCTGAACTCTGGGCCTGGGTGCTGTCTCTCAGCTCTTCAGCTCAAGGCTAGCGCTCTACCACTTGAGCCACAGCACCACTTCCAGCATTTTTTTTCTTTTTGCTTATGTGGTGCTGGGGAATTGAACCCAGGGCCTCATGCATGCAAGGCAAGCGCTCTACCACTGAGCCGCCTTCCCAGCCCCTTCCTATTTTAGTTCTTAGTTCTATCAATACAACATAAACTAAGCAGCTTCTGACGTTGTCTCCTGAATTAGTTTTCTGCTTCAAAGATATTAGGTTATATAGAAAAGACCAGACCATATGAAATTAACTCACCAAAATAATCTGAAGGAAAATCTCATATTGTCGAACATTGTATAGTGCTTCCTTTAACAGAAGTGGCTGAAACTCTTTAATTAAGAGTGGGTTCTTTGTGATTTTCTCCAGGATAGCTGTGTATCTATATGCAAGGTCCTGGGCAATCTGAAGCTGGCAGTCAATGTGGTGAGTGGTGGCAGGGATTGCTTCACGGAGAATCTCTGGCACTGTTTATAAAGGATATAAGAAGACAGAAGTGATGAAATCAAGAAAGAATTAAGGAGAAAAAGCCCAGAAAGGGCTGCAGATGCAGCTAAGAGTGCTTGTCTAACACGTACAAAGCTCTGGTTTAATCCCAACCCACAAAAACAAAACAGGTCCAGGGGTGTGGTTCAGTGACAATGTACCTACCTAGCAAGCACTGGCCCTGAGTTCAAACCCTAGTATTGAAGAGTTGTGGTGGTAGAGTGCCAGCCTTGAGGGAAAAAGTCAAGAGCACAAGGCCCCGAGTTCAAACTCCAGTACTAGCACACACGTACATGTACATGCATATGTGCATGCGCACACACACATACACATATACACACAAAGAGAATGTAATATGCATAAAACCTATTACACGTTCCTAAATGTATAGGTTTGCAAATATCTGCTGTGGGACCTTTCGTACCATTTTCTTTCCAGGGTCACCTTTATTCCAGTTGCTGACTTTTCTTCTTTTGGTTGACTTGGAGTAAATGTCAATCTCCTCTGGGCTGGGGAGACCAGGCCCTGTGGTACCTTTCCCACTCTAGCTTCATGGTCTTGATAATTTCAAATCTTTCCTCAGCAAAATAAAAATGATGATGGATCCTAAGGAACCATCAAAAATACAAACCTCGCTAGGTACCAGTGGCTAAGCCTGTTACCCTAGCTACTCAGGGGAATGAGATCTGAGGATCGAGTTTCCTGCCTGGGCAGGAAAGCCTGTGAGACACATCACCAAATAATCAACCCAACTCCCTCCCCCACCCAAAAAAACCTGGACGTGGAGCTGTGGCTCAAGTGGTAGAGCACTAGCCTTAAGAAAAAAAAAAAAAGCTCGGGACAGGACCCAGGTCCCATGTTTAAAATCAGGACCACACACACACACACACACACACTGCCAACGTCCCCACTGGGAACACTAGGGCGTGTTGTGTATTGTTTTCTTCATGAAATGGGGAGTGTCCATCCAATGATACACTTACAGTTGTCAATGCCTTCTCCTCCTTTCCCACAGTCCCGGTTAAATAAGCGGATTCCAGTCACAATCAAGGTGAGCTCCACCAGTTGGCGTTCCTTGTCCTTCCGACTAAGAGTTAGAAATGTTCCTAGCTCAGCCTGAGGAAAAACGCTCTGGAGGGCAGCTGGAACAGACCATGACACAGGAAAAACAAATAATGACCTAGATCTATCACCACTTACAAGGTTCTTTCCTTTTTTTTTTATTTTTTTTTTGGGTCCGGTCATGGGCCTGAACTCTGGGCCTGGGCGCTGTCCCTCAGCTCTTCAGCTCAAGGCTAGCGCTCTACCACTTGAGCCACAGCGCCACTTCCGGCTTTTTTCTTTTTGCTTATGTGGTGCTGAGGAATGGAACCTAGGGCCTCAGGCATGCAAGGCAAGCACTCTACCACTGAGCCACCTTCCCAGCCCCGGTTCTTTCCTTTAGTGGAAAGACTTTTCTCTCTTATGTAATCTAAGCAATCCTTTACATTGATGATACCTGATTACAGAATACATAGCACAATTTATCCTATTAAAAGTGCCATTGTCTCCTGGTGATGTTTTTATAATTAATTATTAAGTGATTGTACAAAGAGGCCACAATTCTATACGTTAGCTTATGAGTGCAATGCATCTTGATCAATGTCATCCCTTCCATCCTTCTCCCTTATTCCCTCCCCCCATCCTTACCCTCAAGCTATGCAGTTCAATTTTTACATAATGTATAATGAATATAATGACTGCATCTGCTCACCCTTTTCTCTCCCTCATGTCCTTTTTTTTGTTGTTAGTGGTGGTGGGACTTGAACCCTGGGGCTGGGCGCTGTCCCTGGGCTCTTCAACTCAAGGCTAGCACTCTCATCACTTGAGCCACAGCATCACTTCTGGCTTTTTCTGCTTATGTGGTACTGAGGAAATGAACCCAGGGCCTCATGCATGCAAGGCAAGCACTCTACCACTGAGCCACCTTCCCAGCCCCTCTCGTGTCCCTTTTATGTGTGCCAGTACTGGGGCTTGAACTCAGGTCCTGGGTACTGTTCCGTGGTTTCTTCCTCAAGGCTAGCATTCTAGTGCACAACTGCACAGTCTCACAAACATTTCCAGTAATGACCCATCAGCAGTTTTGTGGCAATAAGTATTAAAATGAACTTTCTAGGTAGGCTCTCTACCACTGGAAACTGTATCCAGACCTGAAAATAAACTTTCTAATTAAGGGTTTGATTATTGCTTTTAAAACAAAATTAAAAAAAAATTAATGCTTTTAAAACAAAAAAAAGATAAAACATCATGAGCCAGGCACCCGTGGCTCACACCTATAATCTTAACTACTCAGGAGGCTGAGATTCAAAGATTATGATTTAAAGCCAGTCTGTGAGACTCTGATCTCCAATTAATTGTCATAAAGCTAGAAACAAGCCAGGTGCTGGTGGCTCATGCCTGTAATCCTAGCTCCTCAGGAGGCTGAGATCTGAGGATGATAGTTCAAAGCCAGCCTGAGCAGGAAAGTCTGTGAGACTCTGATCTCTAATAAACCACAGAAAACCAGAAGTGGCGCTGTGGCTCAAGTGGTAGAATGCTAGCCTTGAGCTGAAGAGCTCAAGGACAGCACCCAGGCCCAGAGTTCAAACCTTACAACCAACTAAATAAATAAATAAATTTTTTAAAAGCTAGAAGCAGAGGTATGGCTCAAGTAGTAGAGAGCTAGCTTTCAGTGGAGAAAGCCAAGCAGGAGTATAAGTCCCTGAGTTCAATACCCAGTACCAGCATGCACACACACACATACAAAATCCATTACCATCTATTCTTCATTTGAAAGGAGGAATGTGGGTGTTTTCTGCAGATTAGTCAATGCCATGTACAGATGATGGACTCCACTCCTTTCACCTGTCCCATAAAGCCTGTAGCCTCGTATCCACCATTTACCTCTCATACCTACAACTCACCTTTGGGATGTGTGGGCTCGAACAATGCAAATGAATCTGTAGGGTTTGTTTTTGTTTTTCTGGTGTGTGTGTGTGTGTGTGTGCGTGCGTGCTGGTCCTGGGGTTTGAAATGAGGGCCTGGGCACTATCCCTAAGCTTTTCTGCTCAAGGCTACTATTTATTCTACCACTTGAGCCACAGCTCTGCTTCCTGCTTTTTGATGGTTAATTGAAGAGTCTTACCAACTTTCCTGCTTGAGCTGGCTTCAAACTCCAGTCCTTAGGTCTCAGCCTCCTGAGTAGCTAGGCTTATAGGCATGAGCCACCACTGTCCGATTCTTTTTCAATCTTTCACACTCTTACATGTTTTATAAAATGCAATCATCCTATTATATTTGCTTTGGGGAAAGAATTTTGTTATTTTGTTTTTTTTTTACCTGTTGTCTCTCTGACAATCTTGATGTCTGTAGGAGACCCAAGCCCAGAGCGAAGTAACACATAACTGACAATCTTTCGGTAGAGATTTTCCAGTTCCTCTCTGGCACATGCTCTGTTATCTGTAATTTCTCTGCTAACTGAGCTCAATCGAGACTCTAGGACCCGGTGATGTTCTTCAAGAAATTCTCCTAAAATTGACAGATAACAATGTTTCGTACATTTATATTTAGAGTTTTAAAGTAGTTTGACTTGTTAATGAGACCTGAACACATCAGCCCTAACACTTGTGTGTGCACATTATAAACACATGCTATCTATCTGCACCTGAAAGCACCTGTGGTATATAAATTATGTTCATTTTTCTAGTCAGGTCTTAGATACATTTCCTGTGACTAATTTCACTGATGACATAGGACTAGACTGACAACTGCCTCCCTCTTCTCTCCCGTTCCCTGTGGAGTTGAGGCAGACCTGTGGCAGGAGGCCATCTTGAACAACATGAGGTGACACCCACACTGCAGGGCCAAAGCCGACTTTTCACCATTCAGAGCTGCAATCCTACCACCAAAGCAAAGGGGAACTCTCACATGTCTAAAGCTAGATGAATCTTCTCCAGGCCTTTGACTATTTTATCACTTTCTAATCTTGCTATTAGAAAGTAGGAAAAGCAAAAGAATTATTTTACGCAGAATAATAAATTGCTTACAGAAATCAAACTACTAGTGGCTCTATTACAGCAGAGAGGGCAGAGGCGATCTACACAGGAATTTTCTCTTTTGCTTCCAATACATCATAAATATGTGCATTACATTATATATTCATATTGCATATATGATACATACATGTATGGTATATACCGTGTGTGTGTGTGTGTGTGTGTGTGTGTGTGTGTGTATGTGTGTGTGTGTGTGTGTGTGTGTGTTGTTAGCATTACGCCTACTTTTGGGCATAACCAGACCTGAGCTCCTCCCTGCTATGGAGTTCCTGACATACAGCTGGCCCCTCCCTCTCTCTGCCCAGACCCATCTGAGCTCCCACCTACCTCACTTCCTACCCAAAGACCCTCCTGCTACCTGAACAGGACAGGTGCCATGTGCTCCCTCTTGGGGGAAATATGACTCCTCTAATAAACCTTGTAATAATCTTTCTCCTGTGCCTGCTTGCCTCCAGGTTGTCCACTGGGATGGACTTAAATTTTCAATAATCAATTCCATTTTGAGGCAGATATATGTTACATAAGTACTATAAAGAAAATAAACCAGGTTGGGTGCTGGTGGCTCATGCCTGTAATTCTAGCTACTTAGGAGGCTGAGATTTGAGGACCACGGTTCAAAGTCAGCCCAGGCAGGGAAAGTCCGTGAGACTCTTATCTCCAATAAACCACCAGAAAACCAGAAGTGGTGCTGTGGCTCACGTGGTAGAGCGCTAGCCTTGCGCTGAAGAGCTGAGGGACAGCATCCAGGCCCAGAGTTCAGGCCCCATGACCGGACCAAAAAATAAAAATAAAAATAAATAAAAACTTAAGTTGACTTTTAACTTTCACAAAGGTCATTGATCTTTTTCTCATTTCAAATTCCTAACAATTTTGTATTCTTCCAATACCATGGTTCGGGGAGGTGTCTGTCAAAGGCCTGCCTATGTGTTAAAAGCCAGGTCGCTGGCTCCTGGTGTGACTGGGAGATGGGAAAACATAAGGAAGAGGTGTCTGGGTCAGGAGGGATTGTGGGGACCCCAGCTTCTTCTGCTCTTTTGTTTCCCAGCTGTGAGGTGAGTGGTTTAGCTCTGCCACCTGTTCCTGCCATGATGTGCCACCACAGGCCAAGGCAGTAGAGCCAGCTGATTATGGTCTGAAACCTCTAATATTGTGACCCCAAATGAACTTTTTTGTTGTATAACTTGATGATCTCAAGTATTTACAATAATGGGAAATTATAATAACAGAAAATCAGGTAACACATCAAATTTGGAAAACATGTCAAAGGACTGAAAGAAAAAGCCAGGTGCCAGTGGCTCACACCTGTAATCCAATCTACTCAGGAGGCTGAGATCTGAGGATCACAGTTCAAAGCCAGCCCAGGCAAGAAAGTCTGTGGGATTCTTATATGCAATAAACCACCAGAAAACTAGAGTTGCATTGTGACTGAAGAGGTAGAGCACTCATCTTGAGTTGAGGGACAGCACCCAGACCCAGAGCTCAAGCCTCAGGACCATAAATTAATTAATTAATTAAAGCAATAAAAGGACTAGCAAGCACAAAGTCCTGTACTGCTTCCGAAAATTAGAGAAGACATAGGTGCACACATAAGCCACTTGGAAGACAGAGATAGGAAGATGGTTCTAGCCTAGCCTAGGAGAGGGAGGGACTCTAACAAAACAAGCCAAGCATGGCAGCTCACAGCCGTAATTCCAGCTATACAACACGCAGAGGGAGGGGGATTGCAGTCCAAGGTCTGCCTCATCAAATGTACAAGAACCTGCATGGAAACTCAGTCAAAAAATCTGGAGTATGTGCTTCAAGCAGTAGAGTACTTGCTTGGCAAATTCAAATTGCAATATTGTCTGTTTCTTTTTTTCTAGTTATTTTATTAAAGTTAAACTCATTATCAACCAAATGAAATCTTTCTTATCTGAAATACAATCTAATCAATATATTGATTGATATACAATATGATCAGTATATTGATACTTTTTGAACATACTTTTTAAACTCTGAGCATATTTAAGTGCATTACCTCGACTTGTGTAATTCATATCGAAGTAGACTTGCATCTTAATAGTATCCAGGGATGGATTCTTACTATCCAATAGCCGAGTCACACAGAGCTACAAGAGAACAGCCCACAAATAGTTCTGTTACACTCAAGTACTTAGTTATTTTCAGAAACACAGGGCTACATCAAAGCTTATTCACCAACAACCCCTTTCATTGTTCTTAATCTCCTTGACAAGTTCAGATTTTATAAGTTACTCCAACAACAACACATATTGAGTAGTAAGTACTCTCCTTTGATTTCACTTCTATCATCACACCCTGGTGGTTAATATCTAGCTGAAGAAGTCCGATCTACTTGTTAAGTCTGAGTAGTGTTTATATGGAAAAATGCTCCAGAAAACTCTAGTCTAGGGTTTGAACTCTGGCTTGTTGGTTGGTTGGCAGTCTCCATTTTAGCCAGGCCTCCAACCCTGCTTTTTCCTGGCTATTTTTGCTGACTAGTTTCATGGACTTTTCTACGGAGGCTGGCTGCAAACCACGATCCTCAGGCTTCCAAGTAACTAGGATTAGTTACTGGTGCTTCACTACCTTATTTCTTAAAATTTGTTTTCAGAAACATACACTTGCTTTATAAGATTATTTTGCTTTTATTTTAATTTTTCTTTAGCAATGGAAAGCATAAATTGCATTGAATTATTTAAATTTTAAAGTAGAACTATTTAACTTTATAGTACAAGTATCTGCCAGAAATTTATAATTTTCTCAATGTAAAAGAATAATAACAAGATTATTCCTAAAATACTGTGGGAACATACAAGCTCCTCCTTACTAACACAGAGCCCCAGTTTGGAGTAGGGCAAAGATTTACTGGAGAGGGGAAAACAATGTCCCAGGGTCACCTACAATATTATGGTCAATAAATACAAGCAGATAGAGGGATTTTGAGAAAACAATTATTTTTCTGGATAGAAAGTGATGAGACGTTTATCTCCAAATAATCAGGAAAAAGCCAAAAGTGGAGATGTGGCTCAACAAGTAGACTGCCAGCCTTGAGTGAAAAACCTAAGAAGACAATACCTAGGCCCTTAGTTCAAGCCCTAGTACACACACATACAAGGAGAAAGAGAGAGAGAGAGAGAGAGAGAGAGACATGACCCATTGGTGCACGCATTCTGCTCTCTGCCTTCCGCATCTTTCCACCTCTAGGTTGAACTACTTTGTGACCATGGATGAAAATCACATGGCAGCCCAGGAAAGCCAGAACATTAGGTTCTACATTTCTAGGTTTTGTTTTAGTAGACAAATCCCTCATTGTACCATTTTCAGGGCCTTTCTTATGCACCTACCACAAATACTGTGTTCAAAAGTGGAAAAAAAAAGTAATTTCAAATGAGCATTATTGGATACTGACCTTCACAAGTTTCTGCACGTCACTTTTTATGAGGGTTCTATCCGTGTTAAAGCCATTGCTGGGGTCCAGGACAACGGCTTTCACCTGATAGGAATAAGGGAGTCCACATTACCAAGAGATTTGCTCAGTACATTAACGTATTCTTTTACATTTCTACTTTTTACAACAATTAACTCATGATTACCTCAGGCTTCATCTTTTTAACCATTGTTCTTATGACTCAACTCTTCAAATCTTTCATTTGTAGTTGAAGAAAAGAAGCAACAAACATCAAAACTTGAATATGGGATAAAAAAAGTTAGATGGGAAAACAGATTGAAAGTAATGATTTGATTTTAAATTGAGGAAACTATGGCATATTTTATATTGCCATTGTCTGTTGTTAATCAATCCAAGAACAAAGAACTTACATGTTTTAACAATGAACATACATGTGACACAACTTTTTCACAGAAGAACTTGTTATTCTTAAAACCTACCAAGATCTTCTAAATCAGATGGGAGGGAAAAATAGGAAAATGTGAGGGAAAGGGTGATATTGTCCAAAAAGAAATGTATTCTTTACCTAACTTATGTAACTGTAACCCCTCTGTACATCACCTTTATAAGAAAAAAAAGTTTTTTAAAGATCTTCTATATCATTTATTATAAACTTAGAACTGACATGCTTTGTAGACATGGCGGAGAGCAAAGAAGGGTGTGGTCTGCCACCAAGGCTTAACTATGGGCCTTCCAGCTCTCAATTGGCTTTTTTACTAATGCGTAAGTACTCTATCACCTGAGTCATGCCTCCAGTCCAGCATTTTTGTAGATAAGAATCTGGAGACTTTTCTGTCCTGGCTGGCTTCAAACCTTGATTCTCCAGTTGCTACTTCCTGAGTTATTAGAATTATAAGCGTGATCCCCAATGCCCAGTATTAGGCTTTAAAAAAATATTCTCTGGGAAGTTAAGATTTGACAATGATAAAATGTCACAAGGAATAGAATTATAAGCATCAATGTCTTCAATTTAAAAAAAGCAACAAGAAGTGGCGCTGTGGCTCAACAGGTAGAGCACTCGCCTTGAGCTGAAGAGCTGAGGGACAGTGCCCAAGCCCAGAGTTCAAGCCCCAAGGCCAACAACAACAACAACAAAAAAGAGTTTCTTAAAAAAAGCAACAATTAGGATTTGGGGCTGGGAATGTGGCTTAGAGGTAGAGTGCTTGCCTAGCATGAAAAGCCCTGGGTTTGATTCTTCAGTACTACATAAACAGAAAAGGCCAGAAGTGGCTCTGTGGCTCAAGTGGTAGAATGCTAGCCTTGAGCAAAATCAACTCAGGGACAATGCCCAGACCTAAGTTCAAGCCTCAAGACTGGCAAAAAAAAAAAAAAAACCTAGGGATTTTCCAGGACTTAGATTTAAGTATGCATTTTGCCAAGTGTAAAACAATGAGTAAGAAATTCACCTGCATGGCAATAACTTGGAAGTGTGAGAAATGTGAAATTCAAAGTCTATCGAATTCCTATGGAATGTCCTAATGACCCAATGACAAACACAAGTCTGAAGAGAAGAATCCACACACATTGCAAGAACAGTTTAATAGTTTTTTAAGACTTTTTCCCCCCTGTAAAATGGCTTGCATTTCTACAGGGAAAATAGTGAAGAAATAAACTTTTCAGTTTGACATGGAATATAAAAGAATAAGCTTCCTAATATATCCATAAAATTTCACTGCTCAGCCGGGCGCCGGTGGCTCACGCCTGTAATCCTAGCTACTCAGGAGGCTGAGATCTGAGGATCGCGGTTCAAAGCCAGGCTGGGCAGGAAAGTCCGTGAAACTCTTTATCTCCAATAAACCACTAGAAAGCCGGAAGTGGCGCTGTAGCTCAAGTGGTAGAGCGCTCGCCTTGAGCTGAAGAGCTGAGGGACAGTGCTCAGGCCCAGAGTTCAAGCCCCACAACCAACAACAACAAAAAAAAATTTCACTGCTCATAACACTATATAACTTTGAGACAATTACATACAGAGAAGCAATCTGTCTTCTCAGTTCTAAAGACCTAACTTCCTTTTCATCCAGTTTATTTTTGTCTGCTTAGAAACAGGCAGGCATCTTGTATACACATTTTTCTAATTTGGGGAGGGGAAGGGAAATAACGAAATGCTGAAATAAGGATACAGGTTGACCCATTGTAACAATGAGATGTACAAGACACTATGTTGAAAACGACCTTTACAACTTGGGGGGGAGGGAGGAGTTGGGGAGGAAGGGATAGTAAGGGTAAAACAAAGGAGGAGGTAACAATGCTTGATAGGAAATTACCTTACTCATGCAACTGTAACCCCTCTGTACAGTATCTTTACAATAAAAATATATATTAAAAAAAGAAACAGGAAGAACTGGAATTTTTTTCTTTCCCATCTTTTTCCTTTAGGGATTCTTCATGAAGACAAAACCTTATTTTAAGTCTTACTAAAAAGAAAATATTAAAACTTTTTTGTTGTTACTATTTTGTTGCTTCAGTAATGGAAACAACATTTCTTAAAGTTCAAACTGACACACAAATGGAGGGACAAAGGGTGAACAAATGCAGCAGTGGAACACACTGGACACTGTTGAACTATTTAACTTGTGGGTGGGATGGAAGGGAAAAACTTGGAGAGAGTGAGAGAGAAGGGGTGACATTGTTCAGAAAGAAATATACTCATTACCTGACATGTAATTGTATCTCTTCTGTACATCTCCTTTATAATAACAATAAAAATGTTTTAAAAGATACTGAAATAGTCTCAGTAGCCTTTGGTTCATAAAGAAAAGATGACAGAGCTGTGTTTTAGGCTCAGTACACGGGAGGAACTTCAGTGCTTCACTCACAAGCTAAATTACAGGCACTGTGTTGGGGGGCCCAGAGGACAGGATCTTATGTAGCTTAGAAACCAAGGTCCTGACAGTTGATTATCAGAAACTGCACACTCTGGGTGTGGCAATATCGCGTGAAGATTGCAAGTTTTTACCCAATGGTGACCATACACCCCTCACAGCATCAGACTTTTAAAAGGTACTTTCACTAATTTGATTACTTTAATATGTTTTCAATCAAAAAACATCTAGGAAAACTATGCCCAACTTTAAGGGAAAATGGGCATCACATTTAAACTTTTTAAATAAAGCAATAATTTTTAAAAAGTCATTCTTACCATGAAAGCAACCAGAGTTTCAGAAACAATTTCTCCATGGGCTGCACATTCCTTCTCTATTTCCCGTATGATGTTCTTTATAACACTTTCAGCTTGCGTGGGAGGCATTCTGGCTACATAAAGCAATGAATGGTTTGTAATACACTCATTTATATATCATTTTCTCCTCTTCATATTTCTCCACTCATATTTGTAGTCATAATATTATCATAATTCTTTTTTTTGGGGGGGGGTCTGGTCGTGGGGCCTGAACTCTGGGCCTGGGCGCTGTCTCTCACTCTTCAGCTCAAGGCTAGCGCTCTACCACTTGAGCCACAGCGCCACTTCTGGCTTTTTTTTCTTTTTGTTTATGTGGTGCTGAGGAATCGAACCCAAGGCCTCATGCATGCAAGGCAAGCGCTCTACCACTGAGCCACCTTCCCAGCCCCATTATCATAATTCTTAATATCTAGGTCTCTCCTGTTTTTCCCCCTCTCCTAATGGACTTTGTTGATGACAAAAAGGAACTGAGCTATCAAAAGATTGACCAATTTCTTCTTTACTTAAATGATGGTACCCATCAAAGATGAATTTATATATTGGAGGGTTTTTTGTTTTGTTTTAAGGCTGAGAAATATTTGGAAGGGAGGAAAGAATTAGTAAGAAGCCAGCTCCTATCTGTGTAGGAGAGTACAGGTGGACAAGGAACAGTTTATTCCAGAACATTCTCTGAGTGAACTTTTATAACTGTAAGGTGTAAGCATTATGCCCACCTTCCGTCCTCAGCTCCACCCAGACCTGAGCTCCTCCCCGCCCTGGAGTTCCCGCCCTACAGCTGGCCCCTCCCTCTCTCCACCCAGACCCACCTGAGCTCCCCTCTACCTCACTTCGATCCCCAGACCCTCCTGACCTAGATGGTGCCATGTGCTCCCTCTTTGGGAAACTATGGCTCCTCTAACAAACCTTATAATAAGCTTTCTCCTGTTCCTGCCTGCCTGCCTGCCTCTGCGTGGTCCCCTGGGATGGATGTGTGGGATCCTTCATAAGGGAGTTCTTGGGTTTAAAACAACAACAACAACAACAACAACAAAAAACACCAAAAAACTCTAGGTCAGATCATCTGATTTCTCTTTTCTGCACATCCAAGTTGAGGTCTGGATTTTATTTCGGGAAACCACAAGGGCATTCAAAACGTATTAAGGGAATTGTACACCACAGCAGAAAAGGAACTCCTAATTAGTTACATTGATGATAAACGAGGCAAGAGTGGTTCTAATCAAGCTTCCTGATTTTCCCGAGTGTCACACGGATCGTTTGGCATATGTAATAAAGGTTACGGAATGTAAAGTTAAATCAGCGTTACTGGAGTCCTGTGAAATAGGTAAAGCGCCATTGGGCGTTTTGCCCAGTTACAAGCCAGATGGCCAAGATTCTGATGTGACCCAACCGCTGTCCAGCAGTGTGCACACTTGATCGCCCCTGTAGTAGGTAGATTCCTCATCTGAAAAGCAAGGATACTCTTACTGCATTTTCTTGACTAATAGTTAAATAGTTTTCAAAAGTAACATTCCAGTTACAAGTACTCTAAAAAATTGTAAGTGCAATTGCCTGTGGCCGTGTTTTTGTTTTTTTTTCTCCTTTGGGGAGGGATGTCGGAACGGTTTCCGGGCGCATGCGCTCTAGTGGCCGACATCGCGGTTGCTAAGGACGCTCCTTCGGTTGCCAGGAGAGCGAGTGGCGCCAGCGGGGTCGATAAGGTCTCACCTGAGGACTTGGGCGCCTCCGAAGGAAGTCACCGCCGTTTCCGCTCGGGGTCGACGGGCCCCTCCGCAGCCCCGGCTCTGCTCGCTGCCTGACGTTCGTGTGCTCTCGGGGTACGCCTGCAGCTCAAGTGCGCCGAGCCGAGTGAGCCGACCTTGACCAGAGTCAAAGCAGGAGTCCTGACTCCGGGCTGCCGGTCAAGCCCGCCCGGGCTCCCTGAGCGGCTGCTACGCGCTGTGCGTGCTGGACGCGTAACCATGGAGACAGGACGCTCGGAACCGGGGGCGGGGCCTTCGGGAGGAGGCGTGGCCAGCCGCCTGGGGCCAGTTAGAAACAGACAGAACAGAAGCCTGAAAGGGTCGTTTCCTAACCTCCGTGGTTAAAACAGCCAAAAACACAAGAGCAACTTGCTAGCTTTGGGAACAGATAAAAAGAGGGAAGAAGAGGAAGGGAAAAGATAGACATGGAGTTCTTATAACACTATCTAGTTTTAAAGAATAATAGTTGTATGTCTTGTTACCAAAAACAGTCTGCAGCAGGTTACTCCAAGATGCTAACAGAGGAAAGCAGGTCACTCCAAGAAGCTGAAAGAGAAAAGGGAGCACTTGAGAGGCTGGTGGCTCTATGCCTGTAATCCTACCTACTCAGGAGGCTGAGACCTGAGAATTGCGATTCAAAGCCAGGAAGTGGAGCTGTGACAAGAGCTCAGGAATACACCCAGGCCCTGAGCAGGCCCCGCGACCGACAAAACAACAACAACAACAAAACCCACCTGGAATGGTGGCAAAGAACTGTAATCCCAGCAATGGGGAGGCTCAGATAAAAGGATTGCAAATTCAGACCAGACAGGCATACATAGTGTGATCCAGTCTCAGAGAGATGCGGGGCGGGAGTTAAAAGAGAGGGTAAGTTTGGAGTTAGGATAATGAAGTTTCATCTCTTTAAAATGAAGACTTGGGAAGTGTCCAGTGGGGCTTGGGCTACAGAAAGCAGACAGGGAGCAGAGCGACCAGAGGCTGAGAGGCTCTTGGGAGAGCAGGTGTGAGGTGGGGATGAGGCCCCAGTCGGAATGACCTCTCTGTGATGTCCTCCTCTTCTGTACAGCACTAATGACATGCTCTCAAGGACAGACATTAATTTGGGACAGTCTAAGCCCTTCAGAAGAAAATATTTTCTCAGTTACCAAGGCTTCGGCTGGCTTTACAATGCACAGATTCGCAACTTTGTGAGGAGGAGCTTTTTTGATCTTTCACCTTTTGCTGAACTTTCTAAAAGAACCACATTGAATCAGCAGCAGCTGTTTCCTTGTAGTTGAATAAATAAATGCCGGGGATTCCACTGAGATGTTTGACTCCATTGTCCCTCAGCTTGGAAGAGCTGAGTTTTGAGTTGGAAGACAATAAGAAATAGCAAAAAAAAAAAAAAATCAGTTAATTTGCTACATATTCTTAATATTTTACTACTACAGTACAATATTAAGTACATGAAAATTTGACTAATTCAAATATCTGTTAAGCCTATAAAAGTCTTAAATATAGTTTAGTGGAGTCATGCATGATGGCATGTATCTAATTCCAGCACTCAGGAGACTGACAGAAGGATCATTATTAGTTCAAGGCCAGCTTAGGCTACCTAGCAAGACCCTTACACTCTCTATATAGTGTAGTTGGATGCTTTCCATTATAAAACTAAGGTTTTTGTGTATATGTGTGCCAGCTATGGGGCTTGAACTCAGCCTTGTCACTGCCCATAGGCTAGTGCTCTTACCACTTGAGCCACAGCTCCACTTCTGGCTTACTCTGGCAGTTAATTGGAGATAATGAAGTAGTAGGGAGGCTGAGCCTCCTTTGAAATGAAGATGCCTAGCACAGCCATCCTGGTGCCTCCTCAGGAAAAGGGGGGCTGGCTGTCCACCCAGCTGAAAGGCCTAGAGGTGAGAGGCTGTTCACTGAATGCAGAGCTTGAGTTAGGCGGGCTCTGCTTTCCAGAAATGCAGATGTTATCTTGGTTTCATGGTGGGGAGGGTGATACCCCCGAATACACCCCCACCTTAGGTTATGGGTATACCTGGATCCCTGGAAGCAGGGGCAGACACTTGGCTGACAGGTTATTGAACCTGTCAGTCCAGTGCCTGGGACTGGAAGTGTCCTGTGACCCTGCCTCCTGCCCAGACCTTATTTTAGCATATGTGCCCCATGCCACGCCACCTGTCTCTCTGTGATCCTGTCCTGTGTCCGGTTTTGTCTCTGGTAATCATGGTGTCCCAATTCATTGAGCTGAATTGGTTTGTTGGTATTGTTTTTGTTTTCTTTCCTCTCTGGCCTGCTTCCTAACCATGTTATGTGTACTTGAGGGCGGCAGGCCTTTGTAACAATTGGCTGCAGGCAGCCTGCTAACTGTGTAATAACGACTCCAAAATTCCATCTACCAAAATGTGGCTCCTCCGATAATTCACCTTACAACAATAAGAATTGTAAGGTAAATTAAATAGGTGCTTTAATTAGGTAGTTGAGGTATTCAGGCAAGAAGAGAAGTTTATTGTTTTACCAAACTGCTGCCCCCACCTTGCCAGATGGAGATCACAAGGCTGAAGGGAGGAGGGGCTGAGGTCTGGCCTGGGTTTAAGTAGGGAAGGGGTGGGGAGAAGGTGCAGACAGGTGAGGGAAAGTGTGGCCACATTGGATATGGATGTGACCTTAGGGCCTGGGACCCTCCCCCAGGATGTGACCTTGAAGGAAGGGGAGGTGACTGCCTCTAGGTGTGCCAGTTACCAAGGTGACACAGGTACTGGTCAGAGATTTAGCCAAGAGGAGGGAGGAATCTACCTCACCTTCCCAGGGCTAACCTTAACAAGAGTCTCATGGATTTTCCTGCATAAGCTGGCTTTGAACTGTGATTCTCATATCTCAGCCTCCTGAGTAGCTATGATTACAGGCATGAACCACTGGCACCTGGCTCTTTAAGAATTTTTTTAAGGGAAAAAACTACCATCAATAATTTGTCTAACAAAAGATTACTACTATTAACATAAGTAGCAGTCAGGCTCATCTTCCCGTACTTCTGTGTTGATTTATTGTGATGTTTAAATAATTCAATATACAAAAAACATTTAGGAAAGAGGTTTAAAATAAGGTTAGTACTCAAGAAATGCTAGCAGTTGTTATATTAAAAAAATGGAAACAACAAAACCTCATGAAAGAAGAAGATAATACAGCAAGTAAACAGTTTATTTGTTTCTTTGGTGAAAAGTATGTTTCTGTAAGACAGATTTTCAACCAGAGGTAAGGGAGAGTAGCTACAAAGGCTGTGTGGTTTCACTACACTCCAGCTTTTGCTTATTAGGGCTTTTTTTTTTCCTAGAAAGGGGGCTCTGATTGTGTGATTTAAGAAAAGTTAAAGGTTTCACATGTATGAAAGACTGAAGAGGTAAGAATAGGATATGCCCCACTGAGGAAAAACCTATTCAACAATCCTCAGGACTCTGTTCTCTATCTTTGCATTCAATCAGACTTCACAGTTCTCCTGCTGAGCCTGGGAAAGGGGTGTCACAGAGCCCACCACCGTGCTGATACCATGGGGAGAATATTTGACTTCTCCAATGAATAAACAAGAGTGCATACAGCTTTCAGACACTAGCATCCTCCAGTACCCAGCTTCCCTAACCCACCATGACCACAACGCCCCCTGGTGTCTGAGGAACAAGAGCAGCCAATTCATAGTGCTTTTACAGCAAAAAACATAAAACTGGCCTGTGGAAGCAAAAGCAGAATTGGTGGGTCAGGTAGCCTTTCTGTTCTCCTCATCTGATGAAACAAAAAGACTATATTGAACAAGGGCGATCCAAATAAACTGTTATCCTATTATTTTAAATCTGCAGTGAACCAGCTTTGTAGCATTGAGAAACTTTCTCAGCAATACTCCAGCCCAGAGGATCTAACACAGCTCAGATAGCCTGAAGAAATGGGATAGAGATATGGGCCAAGATGGCCAGGAGGGAACTCAATCTATCAGCTAATTTCTTTTGGGAGATCCACTTGATAGAAAGAGAGACCAACTAAATTACTTCCAAGTATGCTACTTCTTACACAAAGCAGAGATCTGTGGAGCTTAATATCGTAATATGGTGCAATGGTGGATGTCATTGCTGTCATTAAAGTTGAACTCTGATTTTGGAATTGCTAGAAATCCAAATTTGTACTGCCTATAGCATGTGCAAATGAGGCATCATTAATTCCAAATTTCTATGACAGAATTAGGAGTGATGTGTGCTGCCAAGGACCTGACTTTAATTCCCAGATGGAAAAACACAAGTTAACAAGGCAAACACAGCTGCTAAGAAGGGAGATTTTCCTTCCTGCTATATTAATGTCATCTTTCATACCAGGGTGAAGAATTGCTTCCAAATTGACCTCCAGAATATAAAGTATGAGACAACTACTTAAATGAGTTAAGATTTCCTGGAGGGACAAGGGGTAAACAAACGCAGCAGTGGTATTCACTAGACACTATGTTGAAAATGAACAATACAGCGTGTGGGTTGGGATGGGAGGGAATATCTGGGAGACAGCAGGGGAGAGAATTGTACTTTTTTTACTAGACTTATGTAACTATAACTTCTCTGTAAATCACCTTTATGAAAACAATGAAGCCGGGAGCTCATGGCTCACACCTGTAATCCTAGCTACTCAGGAGGCTAAGATCTGAGGACTGCGGTTCAAAGCAGCCCAGGCAAGGAAAGTCCATGAGACTCATCTCTAATTAACCACCAGAAAACTGGAAAGTGGTGCTGTGACTTGAATGGTAGAGCGCTCACCTGGAGCTGAAGAGCTGAAGGACAGCGTACAGGTCCAGAGTTCATGCCCATGACCTACAAAAAATAAAATAACAAATTTCTTTAAGATTTCCTGTGCAGACAAGGGTGCTTTCTCACATGTGTGTCAGGAGCCACCTGGTGTCTAAAAGGGATACTACAGCTACAAATTCTTCCACACCCCCAACTATACAGTTGCATACACTCAAATGCAAGATCTCCAAATTCTACAGAATTAAAAAAAAAAATCACTTTTAGGAAGGAGTAATGTACAGTATCCTGTCTCTATTGG